GTTTAAATTGACAGCACAAAGAGTATTAAAATAAACTATAATTATGGCATTAAAAACCAATTTAAGAAAACTGAATATATTGATCCATAAAAAATATGTGACATACATGAGTTTGAATAGAAAAATCCTTTACCAGGGGAGTACATTATGCCAGACCTTGTCGTGCAAGCAGTGTAGAAGATACGTTTTTATGGAAAAGCAGATCCGAAGACAAAATATCAGTTTGCACAAATCTGATTCATGTGCAGAGGTAACTGAATTGTATTTCCATCCAATATTTCAATGTCTGCAATCCTTTCAATCTATAGCTCTCACCTGAACTATATTTTACATTTGAGCTCAATTTTTTTCAAAAGCTCATTTTAAACCAATAATTTTACACGTAAACTCAATTTTTTTCCTATTCTTCAATCACACGTTTTGTTCAAAGCCTATTTTTCCCCAAAATGGGGCTCAAACAGGGCCTTAATATATAAGGACATTTTACCTTGCTCGTTTTGTTTCGAGTACAAAACATACCACAAAAAATCATATATTTTCCTCGTGTTTTGAATTAGAAATTTCCATCACTTTAGAATAGACAATAGATAAAGTTTCATAAGTACTTACTTTTAACAGATATAATCTTAGAAGTAAATCCTTCACTTATGGCTACATCTCCATCTCTAGCTTTCTTTTAGAAGATTTATTCTTCTTCACCATGTCTCTCGCAACAACAGTTATCTACACAAATAAAATCAGCAAGCAAGTAGGTTCTGTAAGTGTTATGCCCTAGATCTAATCGATTTAGATTGTAAACGCTTTTAATATTTTTAATGCATTTAATTTTGACGAGATCTATTATTTATTTAAAATTAATTTTGTGATAAATAATATTAAATAATAGAATTTGAAGATCCAAGTTTAAGTGATTTGTTAATCACAAGGAGTTGTGATTGTGAGATACAAATTACGTATAATTGGATCTTGAATAAATCGTGGTCGTAAGTAATAACGAGATACGAATATCGTCAATACAGTTAGATCATCACGTATGGCATTTCTTACTTGTGAAGTAGCTGATCTCACGGGCTAAAGTGTGGTGACACTTAAATGAACACATGGATGTTTTGTTATAGAACAAAACATTGGAGACCCGCTAAGAGATTCTACATGGATAACTATCTGAATGTCAGTGGTTAATCTCTAACGTTCGGTAGTGGAATTTGTCCTATAACTTGAGGTGATCATAATGCCTTGTATGAGGACAGTCATACTTTGACGGTGTTGGATGTTACTCTGTCAAGGGCCGCTAATACGACATCATTCAGGTATGTCAAGAACGATATTAAGGTTGTGAATGACCAATAGAGGATTCGTCACTCTTAGCTAGTAAGAGATTGTGATCTACATTTCGTTCAATTAAGTCAATAACGAAATCCTTGGTCAAGGTATACATATAAGTCGAAAATGAGTTTTCGACTCATATTGACTTAATAGTAGAATGAAAGATATGATCGATAATCGAGATTGACACACTTCCATAACTCGTAGTTGATCGGATCATATTAACAAAAGGATTATAATTTCATGGTAAACGAACAGTTTTGATTTTGTCATACCACGTGATATTTTCCGTCACATGTGTTGCCCTAATACATTGCTAGATATCAATCTGGGACGACAAGTGTGAATTTGTGATAAATTAAAAGGTTGTTTAATTTATCAGTTTTGATTAGATCAAAATAATATTTCAAGCCGTTAGGCATCGTGGTTGGGAACCTAATGGGTCGTACACAAAAGAGAATTGAAAGATTGCAAATTGCCAATTGATTAATTTAACAATCGTTGGATAAATTAATTAATTGAATTTGTTATTTATATTCCCGAATTAATTAATTGAATTAATTAATTCACGGACCGGGTTTAATTAAATGAATTAATTAAACATTGGACAGGACCGGGCCGAGCCCGTTTGGGTTTATATAAATACATGATTAGGGTTTGAGGTCCATAAGGTTTTCATTATTCTTGTTGGCACAAGAGGAAAAATCCTAACAGTTGCAGTCTATTCTCTGTGTGGATTTCATTGGAGGTTGGACAATTAGACAGCTGTAGGAGGTAGATTCAAGTTGCTGAAAATGAATAACGCAAAGGAGTTTGCAAAATCAAGAAAATGTATTATTCTTATCACAGTTCTTATCTAAATACAAAGCTGAATCCTGAATGAAAATTGAAATTTGTTTAGTTCCGCTATGCATGTTTAAGTAAATTCCCAACAGGTTCCAAGAGAAACACTTGCACAAAATTTATTCTTTGTAATTTATAACATAAAATTATGAGCATGTACACAAAGAAGAAGCAGATTATTGTGATTAACTATTTAGTGCCTTTTCTATTTTATACTTCTGTGAAGAGTGAAGAACGTTTGAAGACGCTATGCCTCTGGTTTTGGAGAGAAATTGCTCGGAGCCGGTTGTGTACTCAGCCCGAATTGCAGTACTAAATCGATGACTGCTAATGCGTTTGAGGGAAAGGGAAAGGATTAGGGCTGCATTTATAGAGCACTTACTAATGAACAGTAAATAAACTGTTTATGAACAATACGTAGCTAGTTGAAGTGTGACAACAGCGGTGCTTGAATGAACTTGGACTGAAGGTGAGGATTGTGTGAACAGAGCGAAAAATATAAACAAATAAATAAATAAGAAAAAGAAAAAGAAAAAAGTGGACGTTGACAATGGGGGGTGATGAATAGTGTCCAATACGAATAGTGGGCTAATGTTAGCTTCTTTTATGTATGTAGATAGATAGATATTTCTCAATTCTTTGCCATTTCAAAATTATCTTAAGTTCAGCAATAAAAAGCTTTGAAATTTTGAAAAATTGTTTCATGATATTTTATTTCATGAAATTTGATTATTCAGTAAAAATAGAATAATTTTATATTAATATATTATAAAGTAATAAATACATTCTAAAGTTGGTAGATCTTACAATATTTTTTTACTGCAAAAATAAAATAAAAACAAATAATAAAATTGAGTTCAAATCATAGGAAGGAAAATACAAAAAGTAATGACGTTGACTATGAATATTTTAATCTTCATTTGCATTTTTTTTTATAATTTTTATGTAAATAATTATTAAAAGTTTAAAAGATTTTTATTTTAATTTTTTTCCTAGAAAATTTTTTAAAACAATGTTTTCAAACTATTTTCTGCTTTCAATTTTGTAAAATACTGAAAATTTCTTTGATCTGATATTTCAAAAATGCATTTTCGAAAATAATGTTAAACATGTAGTGTAAAACTCAAAATGTATTTTTGACGTTTTGACTATTTTTAGAAAAAAAATTCTAAAAACACTCTAAATAAATAAATATATATACATCTAACAAATATATTTTAAAATTTTTAAAAAATAAAATTCAAGAAAAATAAATTCTAAATAAAATTTAAAAATTCTAAAAAATTAAAATTTCGATCAAGCTTTTAATAATTATTTATGTAAAAAAAATTTAAATGAACACATATAAAAATATTCTCAAACCAAGTCGTTAATTTTTATTTTCTATTTTTCAAACTCAGTTTATGATTTATTATATTATACATTTGTAGCGAGAGAAAATAAATGTAAAATTCACTAACAAAAAAATGTATATATTACTTGATAATTGATGCAAGTCGATACAACCAGAATGACTAACAAATAGTATGTCAAGTTTTAGCACCAACATAAATTTGTTCTATTTTTGTTGAATAGTCAAATTCATGAAATAAAATGTAATAAAACAATTTTTCAAAAGTTCAAAACAAACATGTTTTACTTTTTTGTTTTGAAAAATAATTTTTCAAAATGACAAGTCAAACATATTTTTAACAATCCTAAAACAGACTTAAATAAAAAAAAAAAAAAAAAAAACACACACACACACACACACACACTTAAAATGAACTTGAAAATTGAAATACAAACCAAACAGTTTAATTTTTAGAATTTTTAATTTTTTTTCAAAATTTTTATTTTTCTATTTTCTAGAATTAATCATTTTTTTAAAAAATTAAAAATTTATTTTTAAAATTTTTTATTTTTTAGAATTTTATTTTTAAACGTTTGTTTCTCATATTTTGAATGTTTACAGTGTTTTTATTGAAAATACTTATAATGTCAAAAATACGTTTTGAATTTTATATTATAAGTTTTCGGTATTTTGTAAAATTGAAAATAGCTTAAAAATAACAAACTAGACGCACTCTAATTGATTAAAGAAAAATGATATTTAACTTTCGATACTAAATTAGGATAATATGAGGGATCAATTTAAAACTCACTTATAATTTTTTGACTAACAATGTTTTTTATTTTTCTTCCATTTACGTTATTAATGTTATTAAAATATTCTTCATTCAATTATACTTTTTTACTTGTACATTATTTTAGTCAATTATATACAGGTTGCGCTTGTGAAACTTCAAATGAAAAGACCACAATTACTACTGCACTTTCAATGTTGTGTTTCACGAATATTTCTCTTTTCTTAATGATCACTAATCTTCAGTAAACCTTTTTTTTTTTTTTTTTTTAAATAGTCACCATTCTTTGGAAGATAATTCCTAAAAGTTTCTATATTTTTAACATTTTTCCCATCTATTATTTCAAATCATTTGAAAAATTAACAATTTTACTTTTTACACCATCATATCTTTAATTTTCAGACAAGACTGAGTGACGAATAAGAAACAAAGTTGATAAAGCACGACTTGGTAAAAAAATACTTTATAGTTCAAAGACAACTGAGAAACAACATTGAAATTAAAGCGGCCATTGAGAACTAAAATCAGAAACTTCAATCTGGAAGGCAACGGCCGATGGGGGAAGAAGGGTAAGTTGAGCATCCAACAAGTTCGATAAGAAACCTGTAGGCAGTAGAATAGAAAATATTTCTAACCCTGAGAAATTTACCAAAATAATTTGGATCATAGAGGATGAAAGAAGAAGAAGAAGAAGAAGAACATACATTTACAAAATATGCACAGTTGTTTCCATAACGAATTTACATTAGTAATGATAAGTTGGTGATAGTACACGCCTCACAACAGCAAAACCTATACATGTATCCAGCCATTGCTGGCTCTTGGCCAAATGAAAGCCCACTCTATACATTACATGGCGATAATAACAATCAGCCATGAAAATGAAGAACACTAGAAAATTATGCAGATCAACAAATAACATCCAATGAATTAACAGGCATGAGCGAAAGGAAAGCAGTATGTGGCACAATTTTGCAATGTCGAAACTTGAAAGCTGCCAAGGCAGCAATGGAGCATTAAAACTTAAGCCCCAGGCTCTTTTTAGGTCGCCAGTGTAGCTCACAACAGCTTTGAGATAGCACGACATGATGTCCAGAATGCTGCACCAGCAGCCCTTAAAAGGGCTGGATTTTGGTAAATCCTGAACCGTGCATAGCACAAACAGATAGTCAAAACAGTAAGAATTCCCCATTGTTAACGAGGTGGTAGAATAACCCAACTTTGAAAGAAGCAATGGTGGCAAGGTTAAGTATGTAGAAGATTGAGAAGGAATATCATATATAGAGAGAAACAACAAAAAGAATGCACAACCCCATTAATATCAGGATATTGTTTCAGTAAGAGCTACTCACCAATCATATAGAATGAGAAAGAGTCATTCACATATTCAATTTTAGCATTCCTTATTCGTTCTCATTATTTTTTAGCCTCTACAAAAGCAGTTAAGAACGATTAAATGCGATATGTCGATTAATCTTCCCTTATGACTAAACACAAGCCGAGCACTTCCCAACTGACTTTCAAGTTTGAACTCCAGAATGTGAAACTAGGAGTCATGCTCAAACCAAGGATAATGAAAAAAAAATACCATGTGCTGTTGAAAGCATTGCCAAGGTTTACAGAAAATAAAAGCCAAAGTATAACTCCCCAAAGGGCTTGCTGAACATTTCCAAGCATAAAAAATTAACATCTCAACCTTCCATCTAGAATCGGAGCCACAGTTTGAGCCATAACAGAGCTAGGCCCTGCAGCCATAGCTACACCCATAACCGAACTAGGCCCTGCACCCATAGTAGAACCCACAGCCTGAGTTTGGGTACCTACAGCTTGGGACACATCCATGTTGGAATCCATGTTGGTGGAACCAGTTGCCATTTTGTCTTCTGAAAGAACCAAACAACAAATTAGTTTCCACAATATAACAAATATAAGAAACTAATCAGTTCAGAAATAATCAATATAAGAAACCAATTTTTCCTTTCTGAAAATCTGTTTTAAGCTTGTAGGGAAAATCTCAAGTTTCACCAGTTCGGTCAACCAAGCTTTTCTGAAATTCGGTAAGTTTATGAAAAATGAGGAATCCGATATTCTCGATTTCAATACCGTATATGTCTTTTGTCTGGTAAAATGATATATAACAGCAAGTTACAGTCGCACAACTAATTGGATAATAACAGAATGAACAACAAATCAACTATTGAATTTATTGCAATAAATAACAGAACGAATAATTGAAATTGTAGGGAATGAAATTTCAAACCGAGGCCTGTGTTACACACAGTTTTCTTAAAACAGATTCGTCCCCTCACCGTCCGTGCTTGAGGTTTAAAACGAACGTCCGTTTCTTAGGATACAACGGTAAAACCAGTAGCTTCCGAGCATCGCAGAAACCACTCCGGCAAACTGAACTAGTGCCTGAACTACACCACCACCAAGACAGAAATGCAGAAAAGACAGAACTCTATGCAAATGAATTTTTTGTGTATTCTAAACTTGAAAACTTTTGCTTTGGTGTATTGAAATGAGGAAAATGAGCCACTATTTATAGGCTAAGCTACCATTAATGGCAATGACCTTTGGAGTTTCTCATCTTTTTCCTATGTGGGACAAATTCATTTTTCCCACATAAACTCCCTTTTGAGTGGCACACTTTGAGTCTCAATTTCTCATTCACCCGAGCATCATCTTTGACAAGTAAGTATATGATTTCGATGTACTCACAGAGGAGAACATAAATCAACTTTGATCTTCCAAATTGAACAACCGGATTCCACTCAAAACTCGTGCTAAAGTCAGCCCATAACTCAATTTTTTTTTTTCCAACAGAAATATCAGTCTGCACAAATCTGATTCATGTGCAGAGGTAACTGAATTGTATTTCCATCCAATATTTCAATGTCCGCAATCCATTCAATCTATAGCTCTCACATGAACTATATTTTACATTTGAGCTCAATTTTTTTTAAAAGCTCATTTGAAACCAATAATTTTACACGTAAACTCAATTTTTTTTTCTATTCTTCAATCACACATTTTGTTCAAAGCCTATTTTTCTCCAAAATGGGGCTCAAACAGGGCCTTAGTATGTAAGGACATTTTACCTTGCTCGTTTTGTTTCGAGTACAAAACATACCACTAAAAATCATATATTTCCCCGTACTTTGAATTAGAAAATTTCCATCACTTTAGAATAGACAATAGATAATGTTTCATAAGTACTTACTTTTATCAGATATAATCTCAGAAGTAAATCCTTCACTTATGGCTACATCTCCATCTCTAGCTTTCTTTTAGAAGATCTATTCTTCTTCACCATGTCCCTCGCAACAACAGTTATCTACACAAATAAAATCAGCAAGCAAGTTGGTTCCAAGAGAAACACTTGCACAAATTTATTCTTTGTAATTTATAACATAAAATTATGAGCGTGTACACAAAGAAGAAGCAGATTATTGTTATTAACTATTTAGTACCTTTTCTATTTTATACTTCTTCGAAGAGTGAAGAACGTTTGAAGACGCTATGCCTCTGGTTTTGGAGAGAAATTGCTCGGAGCGGTTGTGTACTCAACCCGAATTGCAGTACTAAATCGATGACTGCAAATGCGTTTGAGGGAAAGGGAAAGGATTAGGGCTGCATTTATAGAGCACTTACTAATGAACAGTAAATAAACTGTTTATGAACAATACGTAGCTAGTTGAAGCGTGACAACAGCAGTGCATGAATGAACTTGGAGTGAAGGTGATGATTGTGTGAATAGAGCGAAAAATATAAACAAATAAATAAATAAGAAAAAGAAAAAAGTGGAGGTTGACAATGGGAGGTGATGAATAGTGTCCAATACGAATAGTGGCTAATGTTAGCTTGTTTTATGTATGTACATAGATATATATTTCTCAATTATTTGCCATTTCAAAATTATCTTAAGTTCAGCACTAAAAAGCTTTGAAATTTTGAAAAATTGTTTCATGATATTTTATTTCATGAAATTTGATTATTCAGTAAAAATAGAATAATTTTATATTAATAAATTATAAAGTAATAAATACATTCTAAAGTTGGTAGATCTTACAATATTTTTTTACTGCAAAAATAAAATAAAAACAAATAATAAAATTGAGTTCAAATCATAGGAAGGAAAATAGAAAAAGTAATGACGTTGACTATGAATATTTTAATGTGTTCATTTACATTTTTTTTTTACAATTTTTATGTAAATAATTATTAAAAGTTTAAACGATTTTTATTTTAATTTTTTTCCTAGAAATTTTTTTAAAAAAATGTTTTCAAACTATTTTCTGCTTTCAATTTTGTAAAATACTGAAAATTTCTTTGATATGATATTTTCGAAAATAAGGTTAAACATGTAGTGTAAAACTCAAAATGTATTTTTGGTGTTTTGCTATTTTTAGAAAAAAATTCTAAAAACACTCTAAATAAATAAATATATATACATCTAACAAATATATTTTAAAATTTTAAAAAAATAAAATTCAAGAAAAATAAATTCTAAATAAAATTTAAAATTTCTAAAAAATTAAAATTTCAAGAAATATAAAAATAGTTCAAGCTTTTAATAATTATTTATGTAAAAAAAATTTTAGAAAAATTTAAATGAACACATAAAAATATTCTCAAACCAAGTCGTTAATTTTAATTTTAATTTTCTATTTTTCAAACTCAGTTTATGATTTGTTATATTATACATTTGTAGCGAGAGAAAATAAATGTAAAATTCACTAACAAAAAAATGTATATATTACTTGATAATTGATGCAAGTCGATACAACCAGAATGACTAACAAATATTGTGTCAAGTTTTAGCACCAACATAAAATTGTTCTATTTTTGTTGAATAGTCAAATTCATGAAATAAAATGTCATAAAACAAATTTTCAAAAGTTCAAAACAAACATGTTTTACATTTTTGTTTTGAAAAATAATTTTTCAAAATGACAAGTCAAACATATTTTTAACAATCCTAAAACAGGCTTAAATAAAAAATAAAAAAAAAACACTTAAAATGAACTTGAAAATTGAAATACAAACCAAACGGTTTAATTTTTAGAATTTTTAATTTTTTTCAAAATTTTTATTTTTCTATTTTCTAGAATTAATCATTTTTTAAAAAAATTAAAAATTTATTTTTAAAATATTTTATTTTTTAGAATTTTATTTTTAAACGCTTGTTTCTCATATTTTGAATGTTTATAGTGTTTTTATTGAAAATACTTATAATGTCAAAAATACGTTTTGAATTTTATATTATAAGCTTTCGGTATTTTGTAAAATTGAAAATAGCTTAAAAATAACAAACTAGACGCACTCTAATTGATTAAAGAAAAATGATATTTAACTTTCGATACTAAATTAGGATAATATGAGGGATCAATTTAAAACTCACTTACAATTTTTTGACTAACAATGTTTTTTATTTTTCTTCCATTTATGTTATTAATGTTATTAAAATATTCTTCATTCAATTATACTTTTTTACTTGAACATTATTTTAGTCAATTATATACAGGTTGCGCTTGTGAAACTTCAAATGAAAAGACCACAATTACTACTGCACTTTCAACGTTGTGTTTCAAGAATATTTCTCTTTTCTTAATGATCACTAATCTTCAGTAAACTTTTTTCTTTTTTTTTTAAATAGTCACTGTTCTTTGGAAGTTCCTAAAAGTTTCTATACTTTCAACATTTTTCCCATCTATTATTTCAAATCATTTGAAAAATTAACAATTTTACTTTTTACACAATCATATCTTTAATTTTCAGACAAGACTGAGTGACGAATAAGAAACAAAGTTGATAGAGCACGACTCGGTAAAAAAATACTTTATAGTTCAAAGACAACTGAGAAACAACATTGAAATTAAAGCGGCCATTGAGAACTAAACTCAGAAACTTCAATCCGGAGGACAACGGCCGATGGCGGAAGAAGGGTAAGTTGAGCATCCAACAAGTTCGATAAGAAACCTGTAGGCAGTAGAATAGAAAATATTTCTAACCCTGAGAAATTTACCAAAATAATTTGGATCATAGAGGATGAAAGAAGAAGAAGAAGAACATACATTTACAAAATATGCACAGTTGTTTCCATAACGAATTTACATTAGTAATGATAAGTTGGTGNAAGCTTTGAAATTTTGAAAAATTGTTTCATGATATTTTATTTCATGAAATTTGATTATTCAGTAAAAATAGAATAATTTTATACTAATAAATTATAAATTAATAAATACATTCTAAAGTTGGTAGATCTTACACTATTTTTTTACTGCAAAAATAAAATAAAAACAAATAATAAAATTGAGTTCAAATCATAGGAAGGAAAATAGAAAAAGGTAATGACGTTGACTATGAATATTTTAATGTGTTCATTTACATTTTTTTTTTACAATTTTTATGTAAATAATTATTAAAAGTTCAAACTATTTTCTGCTTTCAATTTTGTAAAATACTGAAAATTTCTTTGATCTGATATTTTCAAAAATACATTTTCGAAAATAGATTTTCGAAAATAAGGTTAAACATGTAGTGTAAAGCTCAAAATGTATTTTTGACGTTTTGACTGTTTTTAGAAAAAAAATTCTAAAAACACTCTAAATAAATAAATATATATACATCTAACAAATATATTTTAAAATTTTTAAAAAATAAAATTCAAGAAAAATAAATTCTAAATAAAATTTTAAAATTCTAAAAAATTAAAATTTCGAGAAATATAAAAATAGTTCAAGCTTTTAATAATTATTTATGTAAAAAAAATTTTAAAAAATTTAAATGAACACATATAAAAATATTCTCAATCCAAGTCGTTAATTTTTATTTTTATTTTCTATTTTTCAAACTCAGTTTATGATTTGTTATATTATACATTTGTAGCGAGAGAAAATAAATGTAAAATTCACTAACAAAAAAATGTATAGATTACTTGATAATTGATGCAAGTCAATACAACCAAAATGACTAACAAATAGTACGTCAAGCTTTAGCACCAACATAAAATTGTTCTATTTTTGTTGAATAGTCAAATTCATGAAATAAAATGTCATAAAACAATTTTCAAAAGTTCAAAACAAACATGTTTTACTTTTTTGTTTTAAAAAATAATTTTTTCAAAATGACAAGTCAAACATATTTTTAACAATCCTAAAATAGACTTAAATAAAAAATAAAAATAAAAACACACACACTTAAAATGAACTTGAAAATTGAAATACAAACCAAACGGTTTAATTTTTAGAATTTTTAATTTTTTTCAAAATTTTTATTTTTCTATTTTCTAGAATTAATCATTTTTTAAAAAATTAAAAATTTATTTTTAAAATATTTTATTTTTTAGAATTTTATTTTTAAACGCTTGTTTCTCATATTTTGAATGTTTATAGTGTTTTTATTGAAAATACTTATAATGTCAAAAATACGTTTTGAATTTTATATTATAAGTTTTCGGTATTTTGTAAAATTGAAAATAGCTTAAAAATAACAAACTAGACGCACGCTAATTGATTAAAGAAAACTGCTATTTAACTTTCGATACTAAATTAGGATAATATGAGTGATCAATTTAAAACTCACTTATAATTTTTTGACTAACAATGTTTCTTATTTTTCTTCCATTTATGTTATTGATGTTATTAAAATATTCTTTATTCAATTATACTTTTTTACTTGTACATTATTTAAGTCAATTATATACAGGTTGCGCTTGTGAAACTTCAAATGAAAAGACCACAATTACCACTGCACTTTCAATGTTGTGTTTCAAGAATATTTTTTTTCCCTTTTCTTAATGGTCACTAATCTTCAGTAAATTTTTTTTTTTTTTTTAAATAGTCACTGTTCTTTGGAAGATAATTCCTAAAAGTTTCTATACTTTTAACATTTTTCCCATCTATTATTTCAAATCATTTGAAAAATTAACAATTTTACTTTTCACACCATTATATCTTTAATTTTCAAACAAGACGGAGTGACGAATAAGAAACAAAGTTGATAGAGCACGACTTGTTAAAGAAATACTGTATAGTTCAAAGGCAACTGAGAAACAACATTGAAATTAAAGCGGCCATTGAGAACTAAACTCAGAAACTTCAATCTGAAGGACAACGGCCGATGGCGGAAGAAGGGTAAGTTGAGCATCCAACAAGTTCGATAAGAAACCTGTAGGCAGTAGAATAGAAAATATTTCTAACGCTGAGAAATTTACCAAAATAATTTGGATCATAGAGGATGAAAGAAGAAGAAGAAGAAGAACATACATTTACAAAATATGCACAGTTGTTTCCATAACAAATTTACATTAGTAATGATAAGTTGGTGATAGTACACGCCTCACAACAGCAAAACCTATACATGTATCCAGCCATTGCTGGCTCTTGGCCAAATGAAAGCCCACTCTATACATTACATGGCGATAATAACAATCAGCCATGAAAATGAAGAACACTAGAAAATTATGCAGAGCAACAAAGAACATCCAATGAATTAACAGTCATGAGCAAAAGGAAAGCAGTATGTGGCACAATTTTGCAATGTCGAAACTTGAAAGCTGCCAAGGCAGCAATGGAGCATTAAAACTTAAGCCCCAGGCTCTTTTTAGGTCGCCAGTGTAGCTCACAACAGCTTTGAGATAGCACGACATGATGTCCAGAATGCTGCACCAGCAGCCCTTAAAAGGGCTGGATTTTGGTAAATCCTGAACCGTGCATAGCACAAACAGATAGTCAAAACAGTAAGAATTCCCCATTGTTAACGAGGTGGTAGGATAACCCAACTTTGAAAGAAGCAATGGTGGCAAGGTTAAGTATATAGAAGATTGAGAAGGAATATCATATATAGAGAGAAACAACAAAAGAATGCACAACCCCATTAATATCAGGATATTGTTTCAGTAAGAGCTACTCACCAATCATATAGAATGAGAAAGAGTCATTCACATATTCAATTTTAGCATTCCTTATTCGTTCTCATTATTTTTTAGCCTCTACAAAAGCAGTTAAGAACGATTAAATGCGATATGTCGATTAATCTTCCCTTATGACTAAACACAAGCCGAGCACTTCCCAACTGACTTTCAAGTTTGAACTCCAGAATGTGAAACTAGGAGTCATGCTCAAACCAAGGATAATGAAAAAAAAATACCATGTGCTGTTGAAAGCATTGCCAAGGTTTACAGAAAATAAAAGCCAAAGTATAACTCCCCAAAGGGCTTGCTGAACATTTCCAAGCATAAAAAATTAACATCTCAACCTTCCATCTAGAATCGGAGTCAAAAGTTAAAAAAATAAAAATAAAAATAAAAATAATAAAAAATAAAAAATTACTAGTCTCTCACAACCATTTAGTTCCAGTAGAATGGCAAAAGTGATTGTGAATCATAAACAATGCTTACATTTATCCTTCTTGTCTCTTCGATTTTATATTCTTCTTTTGTTCTTTTTCAACATGATTGTGAAATTCAGTCCTACCAATGCATTTCAGGAGATGCAACCTTTAGAACATTGACTGAATGAGTTCAACTAGCAAAGTACATTATGTGATCAACCGATAATAGGATAATCATTAGTTTCCGAAACCTAAGCACAAACATCAACTAATAATATTCATTCAACATAAATCTGACAACCTGGACTCAAAATATGCTATTTATTTTCAGACAACTCACCCAATGGCAGTAGCTCCCCAGGAAGCTACATTGTAAATGGCTCTGCTTCCATCCCATGCCTTCTGCAGCTTACCCTTATTCTTTTTTACAGAGAATGTCTTGCGCAGAGCTGAAACAAATTTCAGAAAATTGCAGACCCTAAAGCCTCATGAACATAAAATCTTAGAAAAGAATGAAAAAAGCACAGAGCTAGTTAAATGGGAGATTCTATATTCATAGTTTTATTCTGTGCATGTTTGGATAGTGCGTAAATCATCATAGCAGCTGGTTAACATATTATCTTTTATCCACAAATTCTGTAAGACCCACAACTATTACCCACTTATTATCCACACATTCTATAAGACCCAAGGCTTAAAATCACTTTAATCTAATCACTTCCTCAATGTGCACTCATTCTCCAAAAACTACAGACTGAGGATTTTTCCAAATAAATTTAGTCGATATGTGAATCCTTCTACGGGGTCCATTCAATCAATCATTATGTTCGCCAATACATCCAACACGTCAAGCCATGTACATTATTTAGTCTCCAGAAACAATCATGGAGAAGAAGAATTTGACCCACCTTCCTGAAGTTGGTTTGGAGTCACATCCTGTAAAACAAAGAAAGAAAGAAATCTTAAGATAGATGGAGAATACTAAAAGGAATTAATGAGCTTGAAAATCTAATGGCACTTATCCTTTCTAGGGTATTCATGTGGAATATGCACAAAAAGAAAGGTAAATACGGAGCTCTATAACTAGTCGGACTTGAAGTAAGTTCTAACTTTTACAATATGCAACCCAGTATATTGTATTAGAAAGCTGTTGAAATTATTTTATTTAAGATTTCTTATGTTCGCAGGGTAAAAGTGTCATTGAATCTTTCAATAACTGCCTGAAATAGGTAAAGATCCATAGTTAATTGGATCTCAAATTAGTTAATCAATGTATCCACTTTTAATAGGAGTCACGGTAGTCTAGAATTAGCCTCACAATATCTATCAAAAGTTCAGTTTCCCTAATCTGATTTTTATACTAGAGGTCAAGAAGCTTAGCAGCCCATGAATAGTAATGTGACTCTCTTAATTTTGAAAGAGTGAATCATGATGAGAATATGACATTGTCACACAAAGTTGGCCCCAACCCTTGCAAGAACGAAGCTCTGCTCTCTCTTCTGAAACTTACAATTCTCAGGTACATAGACCAGCAGAAAGATAATGCAGTCCCATCTCATATTAACCATGTTAAGCAACTATATACTCTCACAGTCACATATCCTGTCCCAATAAACCACACTTCACAAGAAAGCAGGGAGTTTCAGATCACTAGAAACGCTGCATGCAAATCCAAAACTGGTTTAAGTGAAGTCATTCAGGAAACCATGGCATTTGATTCTTGGGCAAAACCCATATCTTTGTTTCATGGGTTATTAAAGTTAAAATTATTAATGTTTCATGTTTCCAAACAATATCATGGACCCAGAATATCTTGTACTCCTGCCATAGTTGTCATACCATATGAGTGTTTGATCCGGACAAACACCACAGTGACATCCTTCCACTAATTCAACTGGTTGGACCATAGATCTTAAAAAAAATAAAAATAAAAAATAAAAAAATGAAATTTGTTGAATGGAGAGACCTTATATATCTGGGTGTCTGTGTGTTATAAGTTGGCGTGAGTCATTAAAAAAGCCTCCATTTTGCAAAATTTATTAATCATTTATTAATGGTCAAACTTGATTTTCAACCACACATTTCAATGGACCCCAAGTACCATTCACTTGTCAACCACTCATTTCTATCTATTTATAAAGTAAATCATTTATAAATTCTTCCCAATCAGAAGCTAAGTAACACAGTAATTGAAAGATAAAATGCTCAAACATATTTCTTTATTTTTTACTTTTGCAAATCAAATCAAAGATATATTATGAAACCTTCCGATCCATGCCTCTTTTCTAAATTTAAGTGGTATACTCTGATTTTTATTTCTTCTATCATTTGTAATGAGATTTTATACATTATGACTTTATATTGGACAATAAAAAAGGAAATCATGAATCATGATCAATATCTAGACAAACATAGAATAACACAATTTATTATTGAAGTATATTATTCTTAACATTTAAAATATGTCATATAATCTCATTATGATATCTAATTCGTTTCCTTCCTGGTTGTACATTGTTTAAAATCAATTTACTAAAAGCACATGTCCGACAACTTTACATTCCATATGAAATTATTTAGGAAACTTGGAAGATCATTTATATCACATGCAATTATATTGTATTTTCATTTCCCGAATATGATTAGGATTTTTAAAGGTTTATTTTTAACTCTTTGGGATCAAATAGGAAAGGATACTCTCAATCATAGAACTATAATGAAATATACGATCAACCAACGGATTTCCTATTCAAAGAGTGCATAACCGCATGGATAAACTCACACTAACCCGTCTCTTTCGTTTCTCGAGGTTGAAGTAAGACCAAGCTCATGAACTTATTATCCTAGGTCGGAACAAGTTGATAGGATCCCCTTTTTCCTTTCCGAAACAGATATAGTTTTTAAATAGCTTTTATGGTTAATTCTAATAAATATTAGAAGATGAGAATCCAGAATAACTTATTTCTACCTGGTGCATAGTTATCAATTTGTTAGAGGATTATCACATGATCATATTATCTTTTGGTTAGTCTCTTACATAAGACCTTGTTGTGGCACAGTGATAACTAAGAATTGACAAGGTGGTAAAAAGCTATAGAAAGGACGAGTTGGCCCCACGTCCGAAGCCGTTGCAAGTGCAATTGTGTTTTGATGAAAATAGACCATTTCTTACTGAACCAGATCCAATTTTCTATACAACCAGCCCGAGTGTACAGAGCTTTGACTGGGTCAGAGTGGTTGTTCACCTGTTCATGGCGAATTAGTCCAGTTGTGCCACGTGACCGAGCTCAATGTCCCAGTCACCCATTTCCAGAACAAACAAGATCAGACAGTTCGGATCCAGTTTTAGTAACTATGCAAGTATGACAAAATCTTTGTCAACTGCAAAGTTGATAGGGCAATATTTAGATTAGGACTTCAGAATTCATACATAATATCATCATTTATGACCTAAATCTCGTCCATTAGTCATTTCAACACACTCTAATAAGAAATTTCTTTTTATATGCATTTATACAAGCCAGTCACCTTCTCTGCCATTACTATTCTCGTTTACACTTTTTTGGACTTGGTTTTCATATATTCTAAAAAGCACAACTAATGTTTTCCTAGAAAATGTTAGTAATCTATCTAACGAGTCATTCACTTGGTCATACATCCATATACAACATGAACTTCGCAGTATTAAATATCGCATTGCACAGGATATGAACTTTCAAAGTTAATGCTCAGCACAGTTGTAATCATGCCTACTCATGCATTGAACTTCATAATGGTAATTAGTATAATCCAGCTTCCTATGGGATTGATAACAAACAGCACAAATTATAATGCAACCGTTAATTTGGATTTGGTAAGTGAACATTTTATTCCATGGCACATACAAACAAAGTGGTGTAGTGTACTTAACAGTTTGATTTACCAGTTAGCTTATCTTATCCATCATTGCAGAACAGGTAGATAGAAAGGGGACTGCACTTTTTTATTGGAAAACCAAATTCAATGAAGCATGAAAAGCTCCAAGTCTGTCTGTCTTTCCTTTTTTTTTTTTTGTATGATCATGGGTGTCCGGGCTAGCTTACACCTCGACTAATCCCACGAGGCTCTGAAATTTACGGCCGGATACTCACCTCAGTGGCTATAAAGGGACTCAAACTGGTGACCCTAAAGCAAACCCAATATATAGAATGCATAGGCTCATGCACAACAAAGAGAGATTCTTCGGGGCAGAGGATTACCCCAACTAATGGTGCACCTCTAGGGTTGATGAGGTTAAAATTCAGGCCTCTCCTGATGGCAGTTTGCGGTGGTAGAAGAGCATTTTCAGGTCCCAGTGGAACAAAAAATCAGTGCCAACATAACACAAGCTGACCACCTCAGAAAAGGAACTGAAGAAGCTATGTAACTTACTTTTCATCTGTAGGATTTTAGTGGGCCATAACCCCATTGTCCACTTAGGCTATGTTTGATTGCACCCCAATTCCATGGAAAATGGAAATCAAATTCCATCTTTCCAATTTTTTGTTGTTTGATTGGCAAAATTTTCCCTAGAATTCGAATTCCACCTTTTATGTCACCTAAGCTAATTTCCATGTTTTCCCTGAATTTTGGTGAGAATTGGAATTCTGGATTACTGTAGCACTTTTTTTTTTATTTTTTGGGCAATGGAAACAAATTCTATGAATTATTGTAAAAAAATATTTCTCTTTAAATGTCAATTTTCATGTAAAACAAAGCCAAATGAATACCAAAAGATAGATGATTTTCGTAAAAAATTTTTTTTTGTTTTTTGTTTTTTTTTTTTTTGTTGGCAATGGAAACAAATTTCATCCCCAATACCAGTAAAATCTATCCCTTTAATTGACAATTTTTATGTAAAATAAAGCCAAACGAAGATCAAAAAACACTTTTATTTCAACATTTTCCACATGGAAAATTATCCCAATCAAACACAATAATTTATAATTCTCACGAAAACAATTTCTAGACAATTCAATTCCCTAGAATTCGTTTTCAATTCAATTCAATTCTATCTTTGCAATCAAACGAACCCTTAGCTTAATGTTACAACTTTAAAAAAATAAAAAATAAATAAAAAAACCTCATTACATGTATAAAAATACCTGGTGTCTTAAGAGTTTTAAACAATGAAACCATCTAATTGCGTAAAAGATCGAGACCATGGATCAATTCAATAAGCTGGAGAGACTAAAAATGCAGAAGCAAGTAAAGGCAAGTCATCAGTAAAGTCAGACCCATATAACAATTTTCCATTCAAGGCTTTTTCCAATCAATTTACCAGAACAAAATGGCTTCAAGTGAAATATTTACCGAAACAAGGAGAAAATAAGCTTTGACTTAAAGAAAATGAAATCTAGCAAAAGTAAAATGCAAATGACAAAGACTTCATCAACATGCATCTATCCCTTAACATGAACCAGAAGAGCACAAGCATCACGCATCAAGAGCCCATATGGGGAATATGGACTCTATAAGTGAAACTCTATAATAACAAAATCGGATTTCTTAAGTATTTAATACTCATATAAATATTGTGAAGATTTGACTAAAAAGCAACCAAAAAGAGAAAATCCTTGCCTTTGCTTGTTTAAGAGACAACAGATATGCAGCCATGAAGCAAGCTATACCCTCCACTATATCTTCTTGCCTAACAAAAACAAAATCTTCTCCATCTGACTCCATATTTCTTACTTCCCAAACTTCATTTTCACTGACCATATCCCAGGAATTGCCTTCCTCTGCATCATGGGGCATGATAAAAAAAAGTTACAAGGCCAACACGGCATTTGTTCCAGAGTTATTTTCGCCAATGAATTATGCCATAATGGAATAATAAACATTCTATCAGAAAGAAATCCAATCTAAACCTCTTGAGGAATGGGAAAATACTAATTGAAAAAAGTCCCAACCTACATTTTCACTTTATATCTTTGAGAAGTGTAATTTCCACCATATGCCCTTCAAAAATCACCACATAGTAGTAAATTCTAATGCTAACAGTCATTAAAAATATACCGGACATGTTCTGTGGAAGTGCTGCACGGGCGTTCTCTAGTTTCTCAAGAAAATCGGTGCCTTCAACCATAGATTGCAATAGATCACAAAACTGCAATATACAAAGTAAATGTGATATTAGCATGTGTAGTCAGGGACGTTCTCTTCTTGGCATTTCTTTCTTTTCCGTGCTCCCATGCGGAAAAAGAAATCACAAAATCATGTTTAACGTAATCTTGTACTCAGAAATCACAATTCTATAAAATCCTTGAATAGCTTAGACGTGGACTGAGTACTTAGCCTATGATAGCTCAATCAATTTCATTATTCCAGGTCTGACTGCCAGCATTTTCTGATCCTGATTCATATCTGCCGGATTGACTTGCCAGGAAAAAAAAATGTTTCTGTACCTCATTTCGGGAAATATTTTTCAAAAACAACACACAAAGTAATGCAAAAAACAGAAAATGCATATTTGGTGTTTTAATGATCGCAATTGTTGAATGTCAAAACTCTTTCAGGCCAATGTATATTCTGTTCTCCTGCTCATAAAATTACCCCCTTCATTTCAGTAAAAAATAATAAATAATAAAAATAAAAAGATAAATTGCTCATACCCAAATCGGGATATATGTTCACTTTATTTGCAACTACAATAAAAGAACCAAAATTCAACAATTATCTTAAAAAGAAAAAGGGGCAGGTAGAAAATAACAAATCCTTGACCTCAGCTGTCTCGGCATCGCAACAGGGGGAAGACGAGCTATCATCAAAGTCCGGCAGCGCATCTGGGTCACCATCGGCATCATCATCATCTAGGACATCGGTGAGCTCTTGGAGGGCCACCTGGCATTGCTGGAGTACTACCTCCAGGGTTTTCCTCTTCAACCGGACCCGATCCCTCTCGGAACCCTTTCCTGTAGGCTTCTGTCCGGTCGGCTCCATTGGATCCATAACCGTAACAAAATTAACAATACCCAAAATTATTATATCGAATCATGCACCATAGAAGTCAACAAATCGGGGGTTTATGAGGAATAATACTGGTGTAGAGGGCATATGAATGACATTGTGTTTTTCAGATTGTCGTCATTTGGAGTGATGCCGTCAACGGGAATTTGTTTAGGGAAGGCAACTTGCAATTGTTAAACAAGGAAATTGCACCCACGTAACTTTTTGGATTGGCATTTTAAAAAAATGTCACATTTTAATAATTTTTACAAAAAAAATGTGACTTTTAAACTTTTTTGTTCCTCTAAAAAATTTAAATGTCTTAAATCCTTAACTAAAATTAATTTAATTAGATGAAAAATAGTACAAAAAGTAGAAAAACATCACACTAAACCTACCCAACTCACCCCTCACGTCAAAAAATTTGGAACAAGTGAAGTGACCGTTGAATTCTCTATTTTTGTATCTCATTTTCAATTTTCGTTTATCGATTTTTGATTAGTGGCAATTGGGATTGCGATATCGAGCCATTGCCATATTCTGAATTTGACCTTTATCTTCTTCTTATCTTTCTATCTTTTTGTTTGTTTTCTATTTTTTTAAATGTTTTTATTGGAGAGGAGATATATAAAAATGAGAAGTCTGGCAACTGTGCTTTATTGATTATTAGAATTTTTATCTTTATAATTTTTTGTGCGTGTTTCTGTTGTTAAATTGTTAGTTAAATGGATATTTTGTTAATTTTTAATTTCATAAATTAGTCATATAAAATGGTTTTTGAGGATTATGTATAGTGATCAATTATTTCTCTTTTTCTCCATTAATTGGGTTCTTTTCGAAAGCTATTGTTCCTTTAAACATCTTACTCATGTTAGCATATGGAGAGTATATTTGAATTACAAACGGAACCCATCTGTCAAGATAGTTTCTAGAATTCTAGACAGTTTTCACTTAAGGTCCGTTTGATTGCAAAGATGAAATTTAACTGTCTAGAAAATGAATTTTAGGGAATTGAATTGCTTAGAATTGTTTTTCTGGGAATTGTAAATTATTGTGTTTGATTGGTATAATTTTTCAGGTAGAAAATGTTGAAATAAAAGTGTTTTTTTATATTCGTTTGGTTTTGTTTTACATGAAAATTATCAATTAAACGAAAATATTTTTTTACAATTATTCTTAGAATTGGTTTCCATTGAAAAAATAAAATAAAAATCGCTACAGTAGGGTGGCACTAGGAGTGGTAGAAAGAGAGCAAATAACGTGAAGTAATATGATTTTTTTTTTTTATTGGGAAAAAATGTGTACTATTTTGAACTTGTAATTTGTGATATTTTGAAGGTTTTTACGTTCATGTTCTATTTCTTAATTATTTGGAAAATTGTTTAGGTCCATTGTCATGTATATTTAGTTTATGTTATTTTGCACAAATACAGTGTTATTGTGAACGATATTGATGAAGCTCAAGTTTGATGCTTTCAAGTAGAGACCGAAGGACAATAGTATGATTATGATATCATCTGTATTTGTGTAGATGTGTTAATGTTGTGGACATGGGAACTTTTGTGTGTAACCATTAATAAGGTTCCAAAAGCAGAGCCTATCAATGAAATGGATTCTAAGAACTCTTGACAAATAGGCTAAATTCCTTAATATATGAGAAAAAATTGAATGAAATGGGTAATTCATAAATATTAATTGCATAAAACTATAAATTTCTCATGTAAGGGGACCGCTCCAATATTACGATTGAAGTGGTTTTGTTCCTTTGCCACGTTCATTTGTCACCTACGTGCACAAAATGTCCCTCATGTGACACGATAAATCTCAAATTATTACCTATACATGAAAATTTCTAATAGCAATGATAAGCATTCAATACAATTAATATAATAGACTTTAGTAGCATGCAAATGGCACCTACAAATAAATTATACCA